AGGTAGCACTGCACTATTCGATGAGACGCTATACAATAAGTGTCCTGAGGCCAAAACTTGTGGCTTCACGCCTGTCGGTAGTGAACCATTTACTTTGGGTGAAGATCCCAACATTCCTTCGGAAGATGAGGACTCTGATGACAATTGGGACAATACTCTGTTTCCAGATCTCAGACATCGCTCCGAATCTTCTAAGAGATCAGAACCTCAGGTTGATGAACCTGCAGGTGGCCCTGCGCCAGGGGATGTGCCACTCCCTCAATCTGGTCCTCTGACGCCTCCAGGCGAACCCGCCGTTCCTCCGCCTGCGCCAGCAGCGGATGGTCCATGCCGGTCTTCGAGGCAGTGGAAGGGTACAACGCAACCTGGTAATATATTTGGGGAAAAGCGGAACCCAAATAAACCCTCAGACATTATTCACGACTTAGAGAATAAGAATACTTGGAGAAACGTCACTGGAGACAAAGAACCGTCGCATCCAGTTGATCGTCCTAGCTCTTCGCGATCTAGGAAAGGCAAAGGTGGTAAAAAGGGGATTCCTGGTCCACTTCCGCCTCTGCCTGCTCCAGAACCCAGTGGAAGCACTGAGTCACATGAGGAAGAAAGCGTAGTCGAAAGACTGACCCAAGAAGGGGGAGTAGGATTCATGATTTACCTGCTGAACAATGCCGTTCCAGTTCACGATTTGCTTCCAACGTTCGATACTCCTGACTTTTCTAACATCAGAAAGTGGACACTCCGCAATATTCTAAAGTTGCCTGTTGAGCAACAGAAGGAATGGAAGACCGCTTGCCGCGAAGAACTTGAGGCACTTTGTAAGCACAAGGTCTTTGAACTCTGTGACTTGCGTAAAGGTCGCAAAGCCATCAGAAATAGATGGGTCTTCGACGTCAAGTCGAATGGTCGCAAGAAAGCGAGGCTTGTTGCCAAAGGTTTCTCTCAGGTCGAAGGTGTCAATTTTGATGAGATCTTCTCACCAGTTGTTCGTTATGAGACTGTTCGTATGATGCTTGCTCTCGCAGCTCTTAAAAACTGGTACATTACTTCTGTTGATGTTAAGAACGCCTTCCTTTATGGCGATCTTGTTGAGGAGATTTACATGGAACAACCTGAAGGTTTCAAAGTCAAGGGCCAAGAACGTAAGGTACTACACCTGCGTCGTGCATTATATGGACTGAAGCAAGCTGCCCTTGAATGGTGGCGAACCCTCAGCTCGTCCATGGAAGTACTAGGCTTCAAACGCCTGACTTCTGATGCTGGACTCTTCATCTGCAAAGATCCGAAGAGTGGTGAAGTTGTGTATGCAATCATCTATGTTGACGATGCACTCTTCATGGGTCCTAACAAAGCTTTTGTTGACAAGAAGAAAACCGAGTTCATGGTGCGATGGGAATGTCGTGATATGGGCGATGCTAGCAAGTTTCTCCACATGAGCATTCGTCGTGAAGGCAATAAGATCATGATTGACCAGAAGGATTTTCTGAAGAAAGTCCTTAAACGTTTCGGGATGCAGAATGCAAAAGGTGCTCCTACGCCCTTACCTGCTGGCTATGTGCCAACTCCCAACGATGGTCCAGTCAATCCTGCCATTTGCTCCAGATTCCAGTCTGTGATTGGGTTGCTTCTGTACATTATCCTGGGCACACGTCCTGATATTGCCTATGCAGTCACGAAGCTTTCCCAGTTCTCTTCTAATCCAACGAAGGAACACCTCGATAAAGCTCTGTATATCTGCCGCTATCTAGCTGGCACATCAGATTACTCACTTGTCTACGATGGTAACTCTGATGGAGGTCTCCTTGCGTTCACAGACTCGGATTGGGCTGCTGATCCTATCAAACGCCGTTCGATTACTGGCTACTTCTTCAAGTTAGCAGGCGGCATCTTCTTGTGGCAATCACACACCCAGAAGACTGTAGCTCTTTCTTCCACTGAAGCTGACTATATGGCACTGTCAGATTGCAGTCGTCAAGCTTCCTGGATAAGATCGCTACTCTCTGAACTTGGAATTGATCTAGGTCCTAGTCCAATCTGTGGAGATAATCAGGGCTCTATCTTCATTGCATCTAATCCGGTTCAAGAACGCCGAACCAAACACATTGATATTCAATATCATTATATTCGATTGTGTGTTGAAGATGGCAAAGTCGAGTTGTTCTTTATTGAAGGAGTCTATAATCCTGCAGACATGTTTACGAAGAATCTCGGACATGAGAAGTTCTTACGGTTCAGAGATCACCTTGGACTTGAATTCTATTTGTCCACTTGATTCGCTCAGATGCGCTTTTCAGCTGCACTTAGCGAGGGGGTGTGTTGAATCTGTGGACTATAATTAGATCTCAGTATATCCGAAGTCCCGGTTCATACTTCCCGCCGTTGTATTATGCGGGACAATGCATTCGCTATTGTCCATTTGTCTATTGTTCACTATGCTCATATGTACAATTTCCATTGTCCTCCTTATATGGTAGTTCTATTGTATCTTCATGTATATAAGCTCGTAGTTCTCTACCTGAATCAATAGCGTGCTTGAGCTTCTACGTCTCGCCTCTATCTTTCTAAACTCCTCTCTGGTAAGTAGTAGTGTAGCCATGTTGTAGTCCTCTGCGCTAGGCATCATGCCGGCTCATCAGGCCACACGTTTTATGACAAAATTTCAAGTGATTAGACACTCAGATGGGATACTCAAAGGTGGGGATTAGGCTCCGGGGTTCGTGAATCTGGAGAATGACGCGACAGTGGCAATTTTACGATGTTTTTGGTCCCTCAGTTCTGGTGTACCCTCAGAGGAGGCTCCAATTGGTTGTCCTTAACCCTCGGTCTTAGTCCTTTTTCACCGCTCCTGAGGCAGGAACTCATCGCGTTTGGTCGACAAGGACGGCTACGCTTTCGAGCAGTACCATGTAGACATAAATGGTCTGGTTAGTTTAGGTGTTTATAGCTCGGCCGGATGGGTACATTGATGCGATGTCGAAGCAAATGGTCTGGTTAGTTTAGGTGTTTATAGCTCGGCCGGATGGGTACATTGATGCGATGTCGAAGCGAATCCAACGACTTAAGGAGTATGCAAGTCTGGTTCTCGCATTGCAGTCCGCTTACTACTCATTTTATCATACCTAAACTATGGTTTAGTACCTTCCCAACTCAGAGTTACATTGGCCTGTAACGGTTGATCCCAATTTTCCGAGTCCGCATCTTTAGATAGAGAGACTGATTGACCGCCCCTCAAGATGGTCTGTGCGTTTAGCTTCTTCGCTTCGACTCTTCGGTCAGATGGAGAATCTTCCCACCCTCTTTCCTTTTCCGCAACCTTCATTCATCGCAAGCCCCAAGATCCATGGCGCCAGCAATTATCTCGAAATCGTTTGATAATCGATTAGAGTTTGGGCCCTAGGTCCAAGTTGAATGAAACGTTCAATTTGAACATTGGAAGTTGCAGTTCAGTATGTGTTGATTCTGGTTCTTTCTCTATACCCTCGATACTGACTGAGTTTCGTGACAAGAACAATGATGGCAAACACCTGGAAGAGGGCAAAACAACGTGTGTCGTCGATATCGGGGGAGCTGAACCGATGATATCTGGCTCTGACTGCTTAATCCCTTCATCATGCTCATCTTCGGCCGTCGGTGGGTTTCTAGCTCTTTCAGTCCGTTTCCACCCGACACCCGAATTGACTGTACGCATAGTACTTACACACTACTGGTGCTCGTCTTGACGATCAACACCGAATCTTCGCAGCGGAAGCAAAACGAAATTTTTCGATAGCGCAGCAAAGCTAGCCAAAATTCGCCAAGCCTCTCCGGTCGATGGACCTCCCCCCGTTCACCCTTACGGGCATCCCTTCGTAGCCTCGAACATGCTCTTAAGCTTAGCTTTGGCACGTTTCTGATCGCCCTCAATCCGTTACATTCTCGAATCTGACTCGATGCACAGTCTTCGGTTCCAAGGATAGCCAACCCTCGACTCTACCTGAAACACTTTTGAGGAGCGCCCGAGTTCGGTTGAATGCGATTGATGTGGTACTCAGGTCGATGATGACACCGGACTTTGGTTATGGTACGCTTACCACTTCGTTATTTATTCAAGCCCTGACACTGACTGTTTCAATCCCAAGGTCAAGGACGGCGAACAAGCGAACGACGTGAGGACTCTTCGTGAGTTGAACTCTTTCTCGGCAATGGCAATCGACCTTCAAGCGACATCGACATCGCCCTTCCGTGTTCCTCATAGGACAGAAATTCCTTCGTTCTCCGCGCTCGATCCCCTCTCTGGTATCTCTCGGCGATTGGACCTTACGTCGTGGTCGTCGTGCCCCCGCCGCCGTCTCCTTCCGTTCGCTGAAAGTGAAGTGAAACTAGAGATTTGCTTGCTTTGCGTTTCTGGGGTATTCTTCTATCCTGCCTGCATTACATAAACTCGTGCACCTGTCTCGATTGCCGATTTTGAGTCCCTTTAGCTTTGATTGATGTTATGGTATGTGATATTATGCACATTCGGATTCTAGGGTTCTAAACTCTGTGTCGATCATCCATCATCCATTCCTTTTCCCCCTCATACTCTACCGCATCGTCGTCCTAGTCAATATTTACGGTGCTAACAACTTGAAATGGGAATACATTCTATCTGACCTTCAGTGGGGATCGCACTCTCGGGTAGCGGTAGAGGAAGTCTGCTATCACAAGACGAGAAGGTAAACTACGACTCTAGATGGTTCATGCAAAATGAGAAAAATCTATCTCTCCTCTCGAGCGTAAGTCGCGATAATGTTAGCCACTACACGATAACGGATAGACAATCAGGGCACATGTGTGGTCTATATTCCCTGTTTAGTATCGATGAGTTAAGATCATTAGGCCTTATCGTCCAAGATTTGGGAAACTTGTAGATTAAATCCCGGTGTCGTTCCCGGAGTCACTGAGGGAGACGCTCAGATTTATACTCGGTGGCCGTCATACATAAGAACGCAGGCGGAAAAAAAATAAGCACCGCACTCAAAGAATGATTCGACCCATGCTCGAACTGGGGACCTTCTGTGTACGGCATATTCAACCTACAGATGTTAGACAGATGCGATAACCAACTACGCCATCGAACCGATGAGGTATGAAGCGAGCTAAGCACCCATAGTTACAAGGCTGAGCTCGTTCTCTCCCATGCGGTTTGGGATACGGTCTTGCTTCTACTCAGCTCGGCTTGAGTGTCTGCTCCTATTTGTTCTTGTGGGGTGATTCCTCCTTAGCAATGAATCAAGTCCAGATCACGGGGGTATCTATACCGAATCAACCACCAAGCGCGATACCGGTTATCTCCACATCTGAGGCTTGATAGCACAAACCAGAGCGAGCCGGATAAGTCGCTCTTCGGAAAAGACGAAAAAAAGAAGCGCAACCGCATTGCATCAAGAGGGAATCGAACCCCCGGCGGGTCGAAATACACGACACCCATGCAATAATTGATGGCAACGACCCAGGTTACCACTACCCCATTGATGCTCCTTTCAGAACCGACCGTGTGATGCTATAACCTGATATGTGGCGTCTTTGAGATTGTATGAAGTCCAGCCTTAAAAATACAATAAGAGTTTGGAGCTGGTCCTTGGCTCATTGACGAGTTTGAGTGACGTATGCGATCAATTTCTTTCCTCTAAGCCATCATTATGCCCGCGACTCATGTGTGAGCGATTGTTTATAACTTCTCAGGTTGATCGGGATACGTTAAGACTGTCACGTCTCAACAGCGTAGTCAATGAAGGTAATTTGGGCGACTGGGCGGATGAGCTAAAGAATTCGAGGGTCTTGAGGGGCAAGTTTGGTGCGTTTGATGACCTACTCTATTAAATCCCGGCTCGGCAGCCGTTACTCGCGGTTCCTTCAGGCAGAGCACAATCCTTGGCATACGAACCTCTCTTCCAACCTCTACCGATCTCGGTCAGTCAAGTGTTTGTGGTTGATCCGTATAGGAGCATGCAGATACCCAGGAAGACAAATGGGTGGAGAATGATACCTAGGATCGTGGACCCTCTCTCAGGTAAGACATCCAATATATCTCTTGTGGCTGGTTTCATACTTCAAGGTGTCGTTCTCGGTACTTCCAACCTCACCAGCAATCGAAAGCCAAAATAGAGTTGTGAGTCGATAGGAAATTGCTGTTCTTTATCAAGCCAGCGCTCATAAATATTAGCATGTAGGGGGGATTGAACCGCCGAACCGAAAAAGGACAGAGACCAAACGTTTCCACAAGTATTTGATGTTCGTACATGTTCCAACTCACTTCGCCAATCCCTCAATCGTTCATAGTTGCTGTTGAGTTCATGGAGAGGCCTCCTTGTGTAGTGGATTGTTTTCGGATGTGAAGGTCAGCCCGGCTCCGGGCTAGCGATGACCGAATGGACGACACGTTGGAAGCTATACCGAAACTTCAGTGTGCATCTTACGGAGAGGTGGGGGATGACCGGCGCACGTAGTGAGGAGGAAGACAAAGTTCTGCCCTCGGTCGTGTCAGTAACTGACAGTCATCGGCGATTGAGTGTCTAAGACCCTGCGAAGACTTGATCTCTAGAAGCAAACTTCTGCCGCCGCTATGATATATCGAGGCTTGAGTGTATGAAGAGATTGATAGATGATGACCTTCATAGCTTACAGGTTCTCACCAACTGAATCATCAAAATTCTAGTGACTGCTCGTTCCCTCGGTCAGTTTTAGATAGACAGATAGAGGGGAAATCCTTTATGCTGGCCTGTATCATACGCCGCAGTCATGATCCATGTCACCTAGCGGAGCACATTTGCCCCGATCATGGAACATTCCTCACGATAAGGAATCGGGAAGGGTGGGTCGCTGTCTATAGCTCTGCTGTCAGTCGGATTGTAAAGAAAGCGGAATATCCGGAAGCCCAACTCACAGACTCCGGCTTGATTAAACTTGGCGAAATAAATGCCAGCGGGAACCATAGCGCCAACTCTAGGCATCAGTGATGAAATATTGATAATTGATGTATTCTTTACGAGGTGTAGCTGAGAGCATGGGAATAAAGGCTTCCTCGATTGTCTTCTTCATCAATCACCGCCGTGTGCCTTTTCGGCTGAGGACGGGACATAAAGCCCCTATCTTACTCTGCACATCCGGATCCGAAGGTTTGATCTACATGTGATTACCAGTCAAAGGCCACGAGGAGTAAACCGGCCGTTTTTGAGGGGACTTTCGGAGCTTGTGAAATGTAGACTCTCGGGTCATAATTTCCCTATTCGGGAACGTAAATACCCAAGTAACTTTAAGGACCTGAAGCTATATAATTCGGGATGATCCATCGCCATCTATACTCGTAACTTCCTCAGGGACAGAAAGTAACCGTATAATCCGCATTTGAGTCAGAGGTACAACCAGTAGCCGGGTTCTCGTTATAGACGAAAGCTAGCGCTCGAGGGCAGTTCTCCTCTAGTACAGAGGGTTACATGTTAGCTTTTTGCTGATTGAAAGGAATAAAAACTCACTGAAGAAATCATGGTATCTGACACCGCTAGCGGGGCATGTGGATGGGGTTCGGTGATCGCCGGTGCAACAACTTTGAGAGTCATCTTGGAATAAGACGAAGCATTGGGACGAATCTGCGATGAGATTGGATTACGAGAGTTGGTGGCATACTTGGATTGACTAGACATGCGGTGTTGCAGCCTGCGGTTGCACCGTTCGCAGATGTGGGCCCTTTGAGCTCACTTGGACCTAAATGAAGCGTTAAAGTAGAAGCAGGTTTTACTAGAGCTGGAGGGAATGCTGGGTCAATTTGAACACGACGTACAGAGTGGATTCAAGTCTACAGGGCAGCTTGCATCGTGGCAGGCGCGGTTGCTAGGAGTGATCGAGACGGGGAGATTAAAGCCATCGACGAGGTATACTAGTCCGAATGGATATTTAGTATCTGAGTTTAGCACAAGTAAAAAGCGAGGGGATTGTTTTACCATTGTAGAACTTAGACAGCTGCTGGTCTCCAGAGAGTGCCATTCTGTAAGTGTCGTTGGGGGAATGCCCTGAGGGGGTAATTGATGACCGTCATCAGGATGTGGAGTCGTAATAGGGAAGAAAGACGCACGGGAGATGCACATTCCAATCCACCGGGGCAATTGCCGGTAACGCACGCGTAAGGTCCTGGATTGGTCGAGAAATCACAGGATGTACGTCCCTACTCGTACATTCAAGGTCAAGTGGTGACTCTTTAGTTGCCCTTCATCACCAATAGACTCACCCAGATACGCCCACCCTTTCAAATCGTCGGGAACGTCAAATTGGATTGACGTTTTTGCCGGCGCTTCCCAACTGGGTTTGACGATGAGCGAGTGGTATCGAGACAAGACCAAAACAGAGAGGCTTTACCCGGTAGGGTGATCAGGACGTGAGTTTCCGAGGTTCGTATCCGTGAATATCTTGTAAGCTACGGAGGGTGAGCTCAATTAGAGACAATTAAGAGCATATAAATGCTTACCGCTGGCCTGTCAATATCGAGCATTGATAAACGAGGCCAACGGGAAGAGCGGATACGAGACTCACCAGACCGTGAAATCACAATTGTTCCTGACCGTGAAAGTTCGTGCTTCGACTGCGACTGCCGAAGATACGGCAGCTATCATTAGATTGAGGATGGTCTTCATGGGTTGAAAGACGTTAAATACCGTCCTATCCGAGTAAAATGTCGAGGGAAGCCCTTTTATACCTCCAGCGGAGATGCCGCCGCGCATGGCTACTCGAAATATCATCATGACTTCGGGAAAGTGGAATACAAGCCAAGCACTAGTGAATTGAGTATGAGTGAATAAATCAATGCCTCACGATATACCATATGATCCGCAGTGAACTTGAACTTTCGGCATGCACAGAGGCTCTTCATAATGATCATACCATGGGTTTTCCCTAGTCTTCCTTCATGCTCGTCATCGTGCTGTTAGTGTGTATGATCTCTGTGAGCTTCAGAAGACGTCAACCACCCTTGATCTGGTGGACTGCTCGGAAAGTATTGGCGCCCACATCCAACTATGGTCCGTGGGTCTTGTGAGTGTTTCGATGCCCCTTTCTCTAGTGAACCACCACAATACCTAGTATGTACGAAGTTATCACTGTAAAATGCTCGTCGTGATATTTCATCAATCGCCAGAGTAGTGCACGGTAAACCGCACAGTAAGCAAAGGAGCAAGTCATGCCTGCCCCGGAGCGGGCCCGATGATGAGTACGGGGCGTAAGGAATTGTGACCTACGACGTTTTCCGGTGCACATCATGATGGGCTCTCTTCCATTCATTGCAACTGAACTGTCTGATTCACTTTTCGACTCATTGCCCTTAGTTATGAAAACACACTTACGGTCACTGCTTCCAGGTACAATTGCTCCACCATTTACATCATTAAATTTCGGCCTCCATAGTCTAGACAGTAAGTGTTCAACAATGTCCATCCACTACAAATTTCGACAACCCCTTCTCATCGGCGATCGCATACGCTTTTGTCTTCCTTACAATGATATCATCGAGTCGATCTCGCTCTCGCTCTTTACGAGGGTTAATTCCGATTATACTGGAGGCCTAGATCCTTCTACGGCCTCCCGCTTTCTCAAGCAATAGAGAGTTTGCAACTCCGGCGCTTGTGGCTTGATGATGCGAATTGGATGCGACTTGGATGCACTGGCGTCCCGATAGTTTTGATGCGCCACCCACCTCGAGGCTCGGTTGCTTTTGAGCAACCCATCCTGGTTAAGGGGGCCCAGACGGATAGGACCCGGTCGGTGACAAGGTTCAAAAAATCTCGAGAGTCCTGTTTAGAGGATTTTTATGATATATTACAGTTCCAGCCACTAGATTTGTACCACCTTAAGCCTTTGACAGCCTGGCCCGCGAGACAAAAGCCGTTCCCGCCATCTGAAAGCGTAAAGGCGAAAGTTCTAGCCCGTTATCGAGGGGCAGTACCAAAACTCAACCGAAATGGGCCACAATCAAAGGGGCCGACTGAAGAACGCCAATCAATATTACGGATCATTTTCATGTGGCAGCCAGAAAACTCAAACGGAGACCTCACATATCTAATTACGTTGGTGAGGATGTTCCTGCCACACTTAACGACTAATGCCCACTATCATATTCTGTCAGTCACCAGCCGTTGTTGAACTGCACTTTGAAAATAAGCCGCGCTTACTCTGATAAGGATCGGCGGAGCTTCTCTTCATGAATGATATAATATATATGCTTGGGTGTGAATCCTTATCTTTGGTCGTGATTCTTCAATTCAAAGGGCAGACCGACATGCATACCCCAAGGCTAGCCCAATCTTGTGTTCCGTGTCACGGAAAATGCTTACCTGACTGTAGGCAAAATCGTCGAATGCAAGAAGAGGTCAGATTCCCGGTCACGAGCACTCATCTCCAACGTTAGTTCGCTTTTTTTTGTGAAATCGCAACTAGCTGACAATAAGCCCTAGTTCATGTTCATGACCCGTTAGCCATGACTCTACATTTCT